CGATGCGGGAGCGGCTGGTTGTGCGCTGGGATGCTGCCATGTTGCGCCCCCTTCCTCCGCGCACCAACGGTCACTCTTGCTTAGGGTCACTATTGTTTGTCGCCAATGTGTGTATACATAAACAGATACATGCACACACATTTGCACATACACCTAGATACAAATGTATATACGCAGATATGTATCATACATATATATACATATATATATATGTTATATGATCTCTATCTATACATATCATATATGCTTGCGAGTATGTATTTGTATACATACACACTATGTACGTCTGGTGTCGTATATGTGGTGCCTTCTGTGTGGGGTAAGCTACGTGGTGCAGGCGATGCGTGGTGCAGGGCCGTCGGCCCATCCCGCCACCGTGCCTGGATTGTGGGTTCGAGTTCTCAGGGATGCTTCTTGCGGCCTCTTCGGAGCGCTCTCAGACCTCTTGGGGACATCTCGGGGCCTCTAGGGGGCCTCTTGGGGGCCTCTTGGGAGCCTCCTTGGGGCCTCTTGACTCCTCCTGGAAGCCTCTTTGGTGCCTCTTGCGGACTCTTTGGGGCCTCTTGCAGGCCTCGTTGGGTCCCCTCTTAGGGCAGTCTTGGCGGCCTCTCGGGCCGTCTTGAAGCCCTCGTGTGCCGTCTTGGGGCCGCCTGAGGCTATTTTGGAGCCCTGTTGGGGGCCTCTTGGCGATCTTGGGGGCCTCCTGAACCGTGTTGGAGCGTCGGAGAGGCGAACAGGCGAGAAAGCAAACACGTGTCGCTTGACAGCCAAAGGAACATCATTGATGTTTACCTCTGGGGGAACTCTTGGGAGGCCCCTTGGATGCCTCTGGGGGCGTCTTGGTGGCTTCTTCTTCGGCAGTTTGGCGGCCATCTTGGGCGTCTTGGAGCGGTCCTTCGGCGAGTCGGGGCTCTCTTTGACCGTGTGGGCGGCTTCCTTGGGCTGCGTTGGACAGTTTGGGAGCCCTCCTGGGCGAGGGGGCCGTCCCGAAGGCCCACGTGACCCACCCCAGCTGGACCTTACGGACTCGACAAAGCTTGCACCTCTCAGGGCTGCTCGAGCCTTGTGGCACTCCGCTACGTGCTGACGGGACGTTGGCGGATATGTAAGGCAACCGATGTGGCAAATGTAGTGCAAATTACGTGGTGCAATTCATTTGCAGAACTTGGGGTTGTCAACTCCACTGCTCGCGCAACCATCCCACGCACCCACCCAAGTTGGCTTGCAGCACCCACGCGGCGGCAATTCCGATGCTTGCTCGGCGCTGGTTGGCGCGTCGGTGCGGTCGCGCTGGCGCGTGCGGGCCCGCGCGACGATCGACCAGCTAGCTTGGCGCGAAAGACGCGGCGGCGGCGCTGACCGCTGGGGACTTCTCAACGCGTCGCGCAGGTCGCGCTGACGCGCGGGCACTTCGGTGCGAGTTGGTGGCGCGGGCGGGCGCGGGATCATGGTGTCGTCGACAACAGCAGGCGTGCTGATATTAGTAGCGAAGATTGTGGCGATGATGACGGTGGCGATGGCAAGGCCAATAACACGATACTGGTCACGCCGATGTCGATGATGGTGTCCATGTGTCGGTGATGAGGGTGTTGGGCAGATTTTGACATGCGCGCGGCCATCGCGCGTGAGTGGCCCGCGCGTTATTGTTTGACGCGGCTCGTGCCCCCCCCCAGGGAAGCGCACAAGGGCGCCCGAATGGCGTCGACATTTGCGCGCGAGAGGCCCGCTTGGTCGCATGTGATGAACATGTTGGACGTCAAACTGTTTTCGTATGACCTCGCAAAAGCGCGCAGTTGTTTTACCAGGTTGCAGAACCATGCGTTGCTGTCATATGTGTTGAGAACTCCGATCTTGAAATCCGCACGGCGTCTTACGTCTCAGGTATTGGATGGCGTCCGTCACCCGCGCGCGACGACGCGCGCGTGTCGACTTCGCCCATGCCTGTTGCAAGGGGTTGTTGGTAACCGATGGGTTGTGATCAACGGGTGCGCGCGTATCGTAATATTTGAAGTGGGCGATGGGGGGGTGATAACGGCCTGCCTGGGACGGTATGGGCTCATTGTTAAAACGAGCGACGGGGTACAATCATGTAAATTGCTCACCCCAGGGGGGTCGACGAGACCAAAGGGGGATGGGTGGTAGATCCCGGTGTCCTGCTCGAGAGGATACTCAACGATTGAATATCTTTGAGTTGGCAGCTCCGCGTTCGCGCACACATCCCACCCGCAACTTGGTTTGCAAAACTCATGCGGCGGCGATTGCGATGACTGTTTGGCGCTGTTTGGCGCGTCGGTGCGGCCGCGCTGGCGCGCGCAAGCTCGCGCGCAAAAGGGCCAACGAACTTGTCGCGAAACACGCGGCCGCGGCGGCGCTGACCGTTGGGGGCTTTCCAGCGCGTCTCGCAGGCCGCGTTGGCGCGCGGGCGCGTCAGTGCGAGTCGGTGGTTCGGGCGGGCGCGGTATCATGGTGACGTCGACAACGGCGGGCACGGTGATAATGGTAGCGACGACGGTGGCGACGATGGCCTGTGGCGACGGTGCAGCCAATGGCGCCGATTTTGGCCACGCCGATGACGATGATGGTGTTTACGTGCCGTTGATGAAGGTGCGCGCGGCCATCGCGCGCGAGTGGCCCGCGTGGTATTATTAGATTGGGATCCTCCACCGCAGGAAGCGCGCAAAAGGCTCTCGAATGTTCCCGACATGCGGCGCGACAGGGCCGCGTGATCACTTGCGACGGATATGTTGGAAAACCAACGGTTTCCACAAGTGCCAGCAATTGCGCGCGCGTTTTGTTTTTGAAGGGGGATCGGAAAATGCAGCGTGCATTTTGCACCGCAAGTGTATATATATGTGTATATATATACATGTATGACACCTACACCAGCTGACGACTTGTTTTCGGAGTTGGGTTTCTGTTTTCCTGATCCGGTTCAAATTGTCGTCCCTACGTGTTCCAAAACGCCATCGTGTCACATCATTCGGGGGGCGCGGTGCTGTGCTGCCCCCAGGTCGGGCGCGGTGCTGTGCTGCCCCCAGGTCGGGGCGTCGATTCAAGCGATTCCAGTTGGTTGGCGATTCCAAGTCGGTTTGGCGTTGCCAAGTATCGCAGGCCCCAGTCGCCTGTGATATTTTCTTGTCTCAGTACTGGATGTGGATATTTCTCTCTTGGTTTTTCCTTCGTTTTCATCCATATCCACTGCTGGCTGTCTGGGGGGGCCTTTGTAAAAACTCGCGTTTTGGTCTGGCGTTCAGGGTCGTTGGGCGGCCCTGCAGGTGGATCGCGTTTTTTTTGGGGCAAGGGGCAGATGGTTCCTGCTTGGCCGCGTCTTTGCTAGCGCTTGGCCCTAAAAGTTCCGGTCCTTTCACGCACTCAGGCCATGGCGGCAGCCAGCCTTGCCGCTCGAGGAGTTGTCAGGTGAAATCCCCGCCAGCACTGGATATGGCAATACATTGCTGGCGCACATTTTTCAAAACAAAACATATCATAACATACATTTTGATGCGTATGTGGTGCAATCTATGTTGTGCAATATTCGTGGTGTAGATTTTGGCGCAATGTAGGTGATGCAGCGGGAACACATCAATAGAAGGCAGTGCAGACCAAATCAAGTCAACACCATGCAAAACCATGCAAAACAACACGACGTAAGGCAAACCACCGCAATGCACAGCAATGCGACGCAAATCATTTCAAAACAAACGAAGCAACGCAATGCACATCAACGCAGGGAAGTGCGAAGCATTGCAAAGCACAGCGAAACAATGCATAGCAATGCCAAGCAAGGCAAACAACGCAACGCTTTGCACAGCTATGCGAGGCAATGCAAAGCAATCTACGTGGTGCAAGCTAACGGCGGCGACGGCGGCGACGGGGCGGCGACGGCGACAACAAAGCCGCCAGATCGATGCACAGGCCCAGACGATGGCCGGCGAGGGGCGGCGACGGGGCGGCGACGGCGACAATCTAGCCGCCAGACCGACGCATTGGCCCAGTTCATTAGAAAAGAAGGAAGAACCTCGATATGCAAGAAGGGCAATTCAAAGCAAAGCGAAGTGACGCAATGCAAATCAAAACGCTGCAGGGCAACGCAAAGCAACGCAACACAATTGACTGCATATCAAGATAAGGCAACGCTTTGCAACGCCATTCACATCAGAGTGGTGAAATGCAAATCAAAACAACGCAATGCAAAGAAAGGCAAAGCAAGACAAACCACTAACGACGGCGACGAGCTGGCGACGGGCTGCGACGGAAGGGACATAGCCTCTGGACCGACCAGCACGTCGGCCTAGACGACGGGCGGCGACGGGGCGGCGACGGCATGCACGTAACCGCCAGACCGGCACACTGGCCCAGACGACGGGCGGCGACGAGGCGGATACGGGGCTGGCGACGGCGGACACGTGCCAGCACTGGTTTTGGTAATGTCCGAGGGTCCGCGCTACCTTCTCCGGCGTTGGCGCTGGCCCCCCCTGGCGTCGTCTTCAGCACCGCCCCGTCGACTAAACGTAAGAGTGACCTTTCGCCGGAGTGACCTTTGGTGCGGGCCCAATGGGGTCCCCCGATCGCCGAACGCGATGCGGTAGTAGCGTCTTGCGCGCTCGTGTTTGGTCCCCCCGCGGCCCCCCAGCCGCGCTCCAAGGGTCACTCTTACCCAGGGTTATACTCTTGCGCGTAGTCGAGGGAGGGGGATCAAGCGCCGATCCGCGCTGACCTCCGAAAGTTTGCGATCATGCAATTTCTCGTCCCTCGAACGGCTGCCATTTTTGCTGCCGCCGTCGTCGCCTGCCGCCAGCGTTAAGTCGGGCCTGTGCCTCTACAGGAGGAATATTCAAAAATAGTCAAAAAATAGTATGGGAACGACTTTTTGACTATTTTCGGTCATTTGGGGAGTATTTTTTGAGTATTGTTGATTTTTCGCCCAAAATCCCCCTGTAGGGGGACAGGCCCTTCCTAACGCCAGCGTTGTCGTCGTCGTCGTCGTCGTCGTCGCTGAGGCAACAAGCACCGCGCCAGCTTGCGGAGGAGTGGGTGAAGCACAAGATGCCTTCCAAGGACCAAGGGCAAAAAATAGCACAGGTGCCAGTCTTCTGAAGTCCGTGCTGAGATTGCGGGCCTCGCAAAAGGCGTCTGAATAGACGGGGTCGGAGGATTGCACCGCAACGGATCGACGTGGAGACCGATTTTCTCCGCGCCGATGCCGCCGATACATCGCCGACGTCGCGGATGCATCGCCGATGCATCTGCGATGCGGCACGATCCTCCGACCCCATCTACAGTCGAAACCGATAGTAAGGATGAGCGACTTCCCAAGGGTACCATTGCATTTTTGCCTCTTCTGTCAACTTCGTTCCACCCTCAACCACTTTCGATGGCCAGTTCCGCTCGAAAAGTGTCGGCATGGGCGTCCAAGGCCCGTGCATCGGCATCACCCAAACATGCTAACACTATGTGTGAGTCTGCACCCCAAGGGGGACGCGCGCGCTAAGAGATCTTACAGTACAAGCTCCGTGGTGTCCTAAATGTTCGGGTCGGACGCACGCCTCCGAGTAGGACGCACAGTTTTACTATGTCCTTCTGCGCCCCGATTGCATCCTGATCGCGCATCCTAACTTCAGGAGCGAATGAAGGGCGTACACTTCGGCCGGGCGTGTCCTTCTACAGGAGGAATGCTCAAACATAGTAAACAAAACACTCGGGGGGCGATTCTTTCGACTCTATTTGTTGGCTCTCTGGGGTTATTTTTGGGGTCTTTGTGTATCTCTCGTCCACAACCCACCTGTAGGGGGGACACGCCCGACTTAAAGCGTGCACCTGCATGAACCCACGCTGGTCTCGAAAGCGCGCCCTGCGCGATCGCCTCGCGCTGCGCGGCTGTGGCCTCACGGGCTGGGGTTGCCGTGTTCGCGCGCGTGGCTGCGCGCGCACGCCCTCTGCGGGCTGTCTACTACAGGACGTTTTTCAATCCAGGGCTGGACTTAAGTCGGGCCTGTCCCCCTACAGGGGGATTTGGACGAAAAATAAACAATACCCCACACATAATCAAAACATAGTCAAAAAATAGTCGGGGGACTATTTTTTGAGTATTTTTTGACCTTCTTGGGTTTTTTTTCCATCGAAAATCCCCCTGTAGGGGGACACTCCGGACATAAGGCTGGACCTAAACGGTGTTTTTGCGATTTCGTGACCCTTGGGCCATGACGCGCGCTATGCCCCCTACTCCCCCCCCCGTCACGATCAGGCGATCGCAAACATGTATTAAGGGAGCGTGGATTAGCAACGGGTCCCGTTCCCATGGGACATCGCGGAGTTTCGCCGCCGAGCGAGGCGGCACCGGCCGCATTCTGGGGAGGGCACCTCCCTCGATCCATGGATTAGGCGACCGCGCGCCTAATCCATGGATCGCTAATCCATGTTTGCCCGGCCCCACATAACGTGACGCTCCCCCACCCAGTGCGTCCCCGGCACCGCCGCAGTGCGTCTGGCACCACAGTCCTGCGGGCGGGGGGGCGCTACCTTCTGGCCCCCCCACCCCCCACGCCCCCATCCCTTCCCTTTTTTTAAATAGCGCCCGTTCGGGCCGCGAATGAAAACACCCGCTCCGCTCGGACCCCGCGTGTCACCACCCACCAAACCACCCCAACCCAGCCCGAAGGCCTCCATTTGCCCCTCATCTCCAGAGAGGGGGGGGGGGAGGTCGGGGGACGCTGAGCAAACACGTGCGGAACCCGCACCCCCCCCCCGTCAACCCGGAATGGGGGGTTCTGGGATGGGCAGGGGTGGTCCGGTCGGTTCACGCCGATGGCTTGGCATCGCTCGGACGTGTGCAGTTTCCCTTCGGCGAGGACCATCGAGGAGCATCCTTGACCATTCGGCGAACAAAACCACGCACGACACCGGACAAAAAGCACAGGGGATGGACGCCCGAGCGATGGCCAGAATGGTCTTCCTGGCGCGGAGGCGCGTGCTGCGTCGAGGGGAGGCGCCCGGCGGCGGGGCCGGGGCCGGCTGCGCGCAGCACCCGGGCAGCACGGCTCCCCACCACGTGGGCGCCCCCAATCAGGAGGGGAACAAAAACACACAGACACAATTCATCGTCGATTCCCAGGAAAATATTGGAAAATATGGGAAGTGGGGGGGAAGACAGAAACCCAGAAAATATGGGAAAATATGGGGACTATTTTTATTTGTGTGTATTTATTTGTGTGTCCTGGGGCCCCTTCACCCAAGGCCTGCACCTTGGGCATCGCTCGAGCGTGTGCATTCTTTGCTCAGCGAGGACCGTCGATGAGCATTTTGCTCACCCTGCGGAACGAAAGCACGCACGACACCGAAACATGCACCTGGAATGGACGTGCGAGTGATGGCGAGGCCCGCGCCGAGATGGCCAAGATGAGGAGCCGTTGCGTTTTTCGGCCTGCCGTTGTTTGCCAGCGTCGCCACGGTCGGACTCGGCTCGGGGAGCTGGGGCCCTCGTGGAGGGCCTCTTGGAGGCTTCTCCTGGCGTCTTAGAGGCCGCGTCGGCCATCCTGAAGCCGTCTTGGGCGTCTTGGAGCAATGTGGGGGCGGCTTGGGGCGCTTGGGCTCACGGAGGCCTCGGGCCCCGCGCCGAGGTGGCTCCGCGCGCCGCCCGCGGCGCCGCCCCCGAAGCGCGCGCCGAAGCGCGCGCTTCGGCGGGCGGGCGCGCGGAGCGCGCGCTCTCGGGTGGGGCGCCGGGCCCGGCGCCGGCCCGAGCAGCCCGCGCGGGGGCTGCCTTCCTCAAGCAGTGGCGAAGCGTCCTGGCTCGCCCAGAGCCCTACCAAGCGATGTTCTGAGAACCGTCTGTGGTTTCCACGAAATGTTCCTAGAGCATTTCTTGTTGAGATTGTCTTGTTTGAACACCTCGGGTCTATGTTCTAAGAACATTGTTTTTGGTCTGAGAACACTTGTTGGGGTACTACGAACATGTCGTGGTAGGACTATGGAACTGCCAGGCCGGTCGGTCCCTGCTGAACTTTTCGGGGGGCGGGCCAGGCAAGAGGGGGGTGAGGATTGGGGTTGTAGAAGTCGGTTAATGGAGAGGAAGTGTGCTGCCAAATAGTTCCCAGATGTCTAAACTATGTTCCAAACCTGTTCTAGATCTGCTAAAAGCATATGTGAAACAGTTTAGAGCATGCTTTATACATTTTAAACACAACGATAGAATTGTTAGAGTGTCCATTGTCATGGCATCCAAAAGACTAGGGTCAAGTCGGGCCTGTCCCTCTACAGCAGGAGTACTCAAAGATAGATAAAAACATTTGGCAGGGAGCGATTTGTTCTGGCCATGCTTGTACCATTTGGGGGGTCTTTCTTGAGTATTTCGAAGCTTTCGCCCAAATCCGCCTGTAGGGGGACATGCCCGACCTAAGACTAGGGGGGGGGATATCATGCATGGCGGGGGTCATGATGCTTCCCCAGATTTCATGGCCGGGCCTCCCCCCTGGGCGGCGCACACGCCGCGGGCCATGATTTGCGCCCCCCCCTCTTGGACGCCCCCCTCTTGGCCGCCCCCGATGTCTAGGCCTCCTAGCTGGGGTCGGAGGATCGCGCCGCATCGCCGATGCATCGGCGACGCGGTTCGATGTGGGACCGAATTTCTCCACGCCGACGTCGCCGAGGCACCGCCGACGTCGCCAGTGCAGCACCGAGGCATCGCCGATGGCATCGCCGATGTGTCAACGATGCGGCGAGATACTTCGACCCCATGTGCTCGGACCCCATAATAGGAGGCCTTCAAAGAAGCCCTCGGAGGCTGCAGTCCAAATCGATAGCCATCAGCCACGCGCAGAAGGGGGGCTACATTCTGAAGTCGGGCACGTCCCCCTACAGGAGGAACATGCGATAATGTAACACCGTTGCTCTTTGGTGACTATGCTCTTTGGTGACTATGTTTGGGAATTGTTTGGCTATTATCATGCTTCTTCCAACATCCGCCTGTAGGAGGACATGCCCGCTTTGAGGGTACATCCCCCCTCGAAATCAAACGTACGTTTTTCCCGCCCGAGGACCCCAAACTTTGTCAGTGTTCGCACCGGAACTGGCGACTGCAGGCACAAACATTTGATTGACCCCGCGGGCCGCGTTTCGCGCGTCAATCAACATTAACAGCTTGTGTTTGATTTCGAGGAGGGTTGTAGGGGGGGGGAAGGCTTCTTAGAAACACCTCTGCTTCTGAAGACGCGCGGGCCTTCTCAGTAGTTGTGAGGCCGGCGCCTTCTGAGAAAGCAGCCTCCTTCCAAGACGCCTTCCCCCCTGCCCCTTCGCCCTTTTGCGCGCCACCAAGTAAGAATGGGCTACCTTCCCAAGAATAGCCCTGCATCCTTGCCTCATCGGTCCATCCTTGACTTCTGTCGATGGCCCGCCGCGCTCGAAAGCTTCAACACGGGCATCCAAGGGGCTTGCATCCTCATCGCGCATCCTTACTACCGGTTTTGACTGTAGATCGGCGACTACACATGCGGGCAAGATGTATATCCGTACCCAGTGAGCCTTGGGCTTTCATGGAAGTAGTGCCGCAAGGCCGAGGCGCATTGGATATGGATAAAAATCGAGCCTCTGGGGCCAGCTTCTTATCCATGTCCGGGGCGCCTCGGGTTTCCGGGGAGGGGAGCCCGACATTCCAAGCTGCGGTGGATATGGACACAAGTCTTGCCAGCAACAGGGTGTGGTTCCGCGTGGGTGTGGCTTGCGATCGGCGCCGGTGGGGCCTGGGGGGGCACGACACTGTCCTCGTCGGGCCTCCTCGGGGCGCGGCGGAGAACTTTTTACCCGCCCGCCCCGCAGGGTGCCCCCCAGCGTGCTAGCTGCAAACCACACCCTTTGACTTGGGCGTCGCGTCATGTCATGGGGGGGGGCGACACAAAGGGGGGGGACAGCGTGGGCTGCAGAACAGGGGCCCGGTAGGCCCACCGAAGTGGCCCTCTCGGGCCCAGAACGGGGGCTTCCTAGGGCCCGAAAAGTGCACCTGTCTTCCCCCTCCAGTTCTCGCCCCTGCCCCCCATGAATGAAGCGAAGCCTACTTGCAAATCACACCCTTCGGAGTCGCCGAAGCCCGCACGGACCTCGTAACGTTTACCCATCGGTCGTTGAAAGTAGATGGTATTTTTGGATTCCTATATCCTCACCTACTTTAGGCGCCTTCCTACTATAACGATCGAGTGGCTTCACGTTTTCCGCCATCCCGAGGGGGCGGACGGAACCCAATCCATTTTCAACGCTCTCTTGCTTCATGTTTCTACCCTTTTCTTCCGACCGATGGGTATGCTTGCTTGTGTAGCTCTCTGGTCTTCTCGAGGACGTCCAGGGCCACTCCCTGTTCGGGCCGCCCGAGCGCACGCTGCCGGCCCCCCCCGAGGGGCTGACCGTGAAGGCCTCCGAGGCTCAGACGTACGAGAGGGCCCTGGCGTGGCACCAGAAGAAGGAGGAGAAAAACAAGCAGCGCGCGAAGGAGAAGGTTCACGAACGAGCAACACACATGCAGCCAAAGCTTATAGTAAGGACGCACGGATGTCCTCAGCGTACCCTTGCGTCCTTGCCTCTACGGCCCGTCCTTCGCGGTTTTCACTGGCCAGCCCTTCAGGGTGTTGGCAGTCCGCCGCCCAAAAAGTGCCAACTTCGGCGTCTAAGACCCTTTCGTCCGTACCCCCCGTCCTTACTATGGATTTCGACTGTACACCCATACTCGTAGGGGGGGTCGGAGGGAAGAGGAAAGGCTGTGGGGATAGGTGCGGGTTGGATGCTCCCGTTCGAACGAGGACCCCCGTCCGACAGCACGCACCCATCGCACCCTCCGTCCCCCTATGGGTATGGGTGTGTGTTGCGCGCCCGTCAAAGTTGGTAACAGAGCTGAGCACGCTCAGGAACCCGAAGATCACCGAGAAGTCGAAGTTCCTCGCGACCAGCTACAAGTCTGGCCCGCCCCCGATGGCGGAGCGTGCGAGGCGACGCATCGAGGAGGCGAGGGCTAAGGATCGGCGGCGGGCGAGGGGGGGAAGTGAGAAGGGGCGGGCCCTCTCAGAAGGCTCGGAAGTTCTCCAGCCACCTGAGAAGTTTTCTGAGCCTTTCCCGAAGACAGAACTCACCTCCCAGAAGGCCGGAGGCCTCCTGAGAAGCCCCGCCGCCTTCCGAGAAGGCCTTCTCCTTCTCGCTTCCCCCCTTCGCTCGCCGCTCACAGGAGGAGAGCGAGTGCACCTTCCGGCCCCAGGTGTGCAAGGGCACCCGCCAGATGCACGCCACGATGCTGCATTCGGGCGCCCAGTGGCACAGCCGCCTCCAGCCCCAGCACGTGCGCAGGGACCGCATGGGCTGCAGGGCGAGGCGGGACGCCGACGTCGACGCGGACTGTACCTTCTCGCCCAGGCTTTCCCCGATGGCGCAGCTGCTCGTGCGCGACGGCACCTTCCAGCTCGAGGAGGAACAGAACGGCACAGGAATAGATTACACCTGAGAATACCCCAATCAGTGGATGATTTGAACATCGATACTATGGATCTTGAGATCGATCATGAGATCGATAGTGGAATCGATAGTGAGGACGATTGTAAGGTCGATCGTGAGACCGAGAGTGAAATCGATTCAATGAGATCAATCGTGAGATCGATCGCGAGATCGCTCATGCGATCTCTAGTGAGATCGCTTGTGATATTGATAGTGATATCGATTGTGAGATCGATGGTGAGATCGATCGAGAAGTCGGTAGTGAGATCGATGGTGAGACTGATCGATAAGAAGATCGACCAGGAACCCAGGAACCCGGGAACCTCGCCGCCCTCCGAAATCGGCCCGGAACTCGGGAACCCGGAACCAGGAACCCGGGAACCCGGGAACCCAGCGTGCGACCAAAATCGGCGGGGATCTTTCGCCAAATCCTTCAACATCCGCGAAGACCCCTTCAGTGCAAGCGCTGATTGGGGAATTTTCTCGGAGATCCGCGCGGAGCTCTCGGATCGGCGTTGCACCCCCCCTTCCCTGGCGCGCGCGGAGCGCGCCAGGGGCGGCGCCTGAGGCGCCGCCAGCGGTCTGGGGAGGGCTGTGGGGCGGCGCCTGAGGCGCCTTTTCAGTGCGGCTTTCTGGGCTCTCTGGCGGCCAGAGAGCCCAGAAAGCTGCACGGAGTTCCCAGAGTGTGTGTCAGTGCAGTTTTCCCAGACCTTTGCCGAGATGTTTTTTTTCCATCCGCAGCCCCAGTGGGTCCTGACCCCTCCCCCAGGGTGCAATGGTCCCGCTTAGAACCACTGCCCTGATAGCAATCCTGAATGATGCTACTCTCTTCTCTGCTCTGACAACGTGTCGAGGGTACCGTTGGCGGTGTTGAACTCGTCGCAAGACGGGTCGAATATGAGGGCAGTGACTGTGCGATGCTGATCGCACTATGGTGATGAACAGGATCTGTTTATCAGCGGGCAGTTCGCTGTCCTGCGTCTCTCAGACGCACACCAGAAGTCCAGCGTCGCTGAGACGCTGCAAAGGCTTGAGCCAGAACGGTTTCGGATGAACCTGTTCTGTTTGAATTATCTGTTGCAACTTGTTGCTAGGGAAACGGAGTGCCTACTAAGCAAGGCTTGCTGAAACCTGGAGTCTTAAGGGACCCGATTCGCCGGGAAACGCTTGGCTAACATACATGGGGCTCCTTTGGAGCCTGAAGCTTATATCACGCACGGCCTCTAGAGGCCATCTGTCGTAAGTAGGCTCTAGTGAGGCAGGCTCGGGGCTGTGAATTCATGCCCAAAAGCTAAAGATCGATGTTACGGCATCGAGACCTGCCTCTGGCAACTGAATTCACAGAACGCACAGAGCGCGTGAGAGGCTTCACAGTGCCCCAAAGGGCTATATCTCCGGCAGGGGTCTCCTGCTCGTAGGGATTGTCGCGAGCGAAGTAGATCAGGGCCTCCAGCATAGCTTCATCGTCATCTGCTGATAACGGCTTGCCGTGGTCCAGCTTGTCCATGCCCTCGGTCTTGCGCTTCCTAGCACTGCGGTGCAGGGGGTCGTCCACGAGTCTCCAGCGCTGACCTGACCTGAAGAACTCCAGCAAGACCTTGGCGGCTCGATCCTTGGTGAGGCCGTCGGCTAGCATGGCATCGCTGTGGACCCAGCGTATCTGGAGGGCCGTCTGCTCCTTCTGCTGTCGAATGCCTAGACACTCGATGCTCGTCCGCTTATCGCGTAGGCCGAGACCAGCTGACTCGCTCTTCTCGATCGCGTCGTAGCCCGACTTACCGTCTGTGACCAGTTTGCCAGGGCAGGATGAGATGGCGTCGTTCACGTGCTGCTTGTTGGTGTAGTCCACTTGGCCGCACTCCAGCTCGTAGATGAACAGGCGCACGTAGCTGATCTCGTCGAGGGTCTCTGTCATCATCTGAACCTCCGCACTCGTACTGCTTCTGGCCACTCGCGGTAGTTTGCATGATCTCCATGAGATAGGCGCTACCGTCTCTGTCGAGCCACTCAGGAAAGACAGTGGTGCCAGCACGATCATCTCGCCACCCTGGGACTCGCCAGTGATACGAGCGGCCCAGGCAGCATCGCCCCAGCCAACCACAGCGATCTGCTCGATGGCCGGGATGAGCATGACCACGTCGGCAGTGTCATTCATGGTGCGGATCAGCTTGTTGATCTTCTGGATGGTAGAGACCGTCGCCGTAGGTATCTCCGCTTGAAGTAGAGAGACTTCTGCACTGAGCCACGGGGCCGACTGCTGAGCTCGCCATCCGACTGTACCAAGTCGGCCTCGTAGATCTGATCTCTCCTTGTCTGAAACTCCTTCCGTGGGCTTGCGTCCACGTCGTATCTTGATGGGCTCCACGTTCAGGCTGTAGCTGTCCTGTGCGAGACTGCAGGTGTAGTCCTCATTCTGTCGAATACTGATGCCGCACTGCACAAACGCTCGGCTCTCCCAAGGTGTCCACTCGAAGGCCTGTTGTATCTCCTGTCGTTTCTTGAGGAAGGCCGAGTTGTGATGGTCGCCGGCGATCATCATGTCATCGACGTGTAGGATAACCATGCCGACCAGCTTCGTGCCGTCTCGAATGACCCAGACGCACGGCTCGCACTGTACCACCTCCAGCTGCAGCGTCTTGAGCGTGTCCTTGAAATGGAGCCACCATTTGCGAGGAGCATGTACAAATCCGTACATAGGCTTGAGGAACTGCAGGACCTCGTCGTCTTTCATGCCGAAGGCCTGACGCACGTCCTTAGGCGGGTCCGCGTAGATCTTCCTCTTCTCCTCGTCCGTCTCGCCCTGGAGAAAGGCTGTCACTGCATCGGCCTTCTCCAGTTTCCACTTGTGTCTAGCTGCCATGGCCAGTAGAAGTTGACGTGCACGTCTGGAGGCAACTGGTGATTCTGTCCGCAGGTGCAGCAGGTCGGGGTCGCTGAAGCCGAGCACGACCAGTCTGGCTTTGCCTCGTAGCACGTTCCCCTGGTCATCCTTCTTCCAGGTCAGCACGAAGCGGCAGCGCAGCAGGCGCGCCGGGTCGATCCCCTGTCGGCTGAGGATCCTGACGGCCTTCGTGCTGAGGACTGAGGTGCACTCCTTCTGCTGGGCCTCGAGTAGCAGCTTCTTCTCCTCAGGCGTCGCCTTCTTAAATGAGACCTCCACTCGGCCCTTGCGGGCCTGCGATGCCACGAAGTTGCTGGGGTCGTCCATGTAGGCCATGAACGCATGCTCGTTGCTGACAGGGATGTCCAGCACGATGAGTTCGTCGTTCTCCTTCATATCGTCGTACTGCTGGACACTGTAGGCATAGTCGCTGTAGAAGTTACCCTCTTGCAGGTAGTAGGAGAAGGCCTCCTGGGTCGCAGCGTTGACCCGCTGCTTCTTAGCCGGGGGCTCGGTTGAGCCGGGCTCTCGGATCCGGCGCTTATCGTTCACGTCGGGCGCCGAGATATCGTCGAGGTCATCGTCAGTCTCCACCTCGATGGGCCGCTGCGACGCGCGCTCCTCCTGGTCGTCGCCGGGAGGGGCTTCCATGACGATCTCCTCCTCGATGGGCTGCTCAGCTTCTTCGGGTAGTCCAGCTTCGTGGCCGTCTTCCTGTGGAATGCCTGGTGGAACTTCTGGCTGAGCTGGCTGGATGAGAGGTTCCTGGACCTCGGTCGCCTCGTTCCAGGGATTACCCTTCTTCCGCATACGCTTGGGAGGTCGCGGTCCAGGTAGAGGTCGCTCTTCCAGTCCGGGTGGCGCCGCCAAGGCTCCACCACCTCCGCCGCCTCCTGGGTCAAGACTACGAGGGTCTCCTTGTGGAACAGGAAGATCATCGTCCTCAGAAATGGCCCAGGGTCCGCTCGCGTTGCTCTCGAAGGTGCGGGCGCTGACCGATTCACCGTCATCAGCGGCCAAATCCTCGCCAGTGGGCGGGGACTCGTTCGACAAGTCGATCACCTCGTTAGTGTCGAGCTGCTTCTGGACATCGCCGAAGGTCCAGGTCCCCGGCTGCTCGCGGCGCGAGCGTAGGGAGTCCATCGCCTCCTCAGAAGGCGTGGCAGGTCGAAGTTGTTCGGGGGCAACTCGGTAGAGGCGGCCAGCCAGTGTGATATTGACCACCGTCCCAGGTAGACCAGGTCGGTGTCCCGAGCTCGCTGGCTCGTGACAAAGTACTCGTCCAGGTCCGTACCAGCGTCCTCGCCCAGGCATTGAGCGAGGCTGTCCCTTCTTGCGCCAGGCCCCTGGTGGGAGCCGCCTGTAGACGAAAACCAGATCGCCCGTCTCGTACTTCTTGAAGGACCTGAAGCGCGCGGCCTCCGCTCGCTTAACTCGGTCAGAGTTCTCGGTCTGGATGTGAGCCAGCCGCGCCATCCGTCGTACCTGGGCGTCCCTGCTGAAGGTACCGTCCTGCAGCTCGGCACTGATGAGCGGCAGGTTGTTCGGCTCGTCCGACAGGTTGACTGTCGTCCCAGTCGGCGTCCGTCCCGCGTAGCGCTGCAGCGGGCTGAACCCGTCGATCCTGATCAGGTCGTTCCTGGCCGCTGTCTGGAGTCCGAACATCTCGCTGGTGGGTACTTCGGCTGAGACCATCTCGTCGAAAGCGTCGAGGGCCTCCTTGAAGGCTTCAATGGCGCGCTCGATCTTGCCGATCTGCCAGTGGGCGTCGGCCGCGCATGGGAGACAGTAGACTCCCTGGCCCTCGATCCACTCGCGGAACTCGTCGGAGATGGCGCTGCCGGCAGGGTCGTAGCGCATGACCTTCGGGCGTCCCATCCAGGGGAACCATTTTGTAGCAAAGATATGCCGAAGGTCGCCGGCACGAACTTGTCGAGTCGTACCCGGGATCGGCTTCTCGTCGATCAGCCGCACGTAGAGGATGTCCGAGCCGGCGTCGAGTATCGCCAGCGCCATCACGTTCGTGTTCGTGCTGCGACGGATCCACGAGAAAGCGTCGAAAAGCACCTCGTGACCGTTTTGGGGCTGCTCTGCTGATGAGGCTGGTGGCCGCTTAGTAGGTGGTCGATGTGCGTCACAGATGTCGCACTTGAAGGTTCTGGCCAGACGTAGCACCTCTGGTCGAGCGCCACGGTCGCGAAGGTATCGTAGTAGATGAGCTCGAGGTAGGTGTCCGAGGTTGGTATGGACCAATCTGATGTAGCTCTCGAGCTTCTTGACCGTCTCGTTGGTGAGGTTGTGCGCTTCCTTGCCGTCTTGTGGTGGAAGAGACGGCTCGTCCTCCTCTGGCGTAGGCTCTGTCGGTGGCTGCTGGGTAGCTGCCATGCAGAGGCAGTTCACAACCTCGTCCTCGAAGTAGTTCTGGTTCTGGCTCTTGGTCAGAGCCCTGAGGATCCGGCGGCACAGCATCTTGGGGTAGGAGCCCGAGGCCTCGGTCCTCAAGCTGCTCTCTATCTCCTCGTGGTAGTGTCCTCCACGGCACTGTAGAGGTTGTAGGGCTACCCAGATCCTCCTGTCATTCGTCAGGAACTTCCAGCGCTTCTTCATGAGCTCGCCCGTGTCAGGGGCTCGTAGTCCGCAGGCGCAGCCATCCACGATCACCTCGTACGGTAGGATCTTGTGGAGATCCTTCCAGCAGGTCTTCTGCCACGACCGACTGTTGTGGGGCTGCTCGGCGAGGGCCGAGCCGTTCAGGTTGAGCACCTGGTGCTCGATGAGCCTCTTGTTGTTCTCGAAGATCCGCTGGCTCTTGAGCCGCTTCCTGCGAAGGTTCTCCTTCTGTTGATCGTTGCGCTGGTTGACGTTCTGCATTATCGACCATGGACCGCAGGGTGGTGTACTGACGAAGAGCTCCGGGCGCTTCTCGTCTAGCAGGAACTTCGCCTTGTGGTAGCCCTGCGGCTTGCTGAGGTCGTTCTCGTTGAAGAGGCCGAGCCGCTCGTAGTGGTAGCCCTTCTCGTCGCACACCTTCCCGAGATTCGAGTCCTCGTGGGTGCACGCTTCGACCATCGTCAGGCGGCCGAAGGTTGCGAGGGCGCACATAGCTCCGAAAATGGCCGACCTCGTCGTATGTGTAGCTGCCCGTATCGCCTGGCGCTGGTGGCCCTTCAGCGGCCTGCTCTCGTCGCCGCGCCACCGAGACCTCTCGGCCTGAACCTCACTCAGGCCTTCGTCTTGACCGCACACGCCTGGTGGCACCAACCGTAGGGCCTCACCTTCACGATCGGCTCGTTCTTGGCGATGCCTCGGCGTAGCTTGCAGTCCGGGTGCTGGCACATCTGAGTGTAGTGAGCTGAGATCGCCGGGCCCACGGGCATGGCCGTCGTCTCCATCTTCTTGGTCTCCGTCTCCTTCTTGATCTTGATAGTCGCTGCCGCCGTGCCGCGCTGCTCGATGATGTACGCGATGATCTTGTCGATCACCTCCTCCTTCTTGCCAGTCTGGGTCAGTCCCCACATCTTGCACAGCGGCTTGAGATGGTTGACCAACGTGACCATGCTGAGCTGCTCGTGGATCTGCTCCGAGCTCAGCGCTGCAAACGCATCCACCTCCGCAAACTTGGTCAAGAAATCTGACTTTGCGGTCTCGATGGTGGCTCGCAGCTCTTGATTCTGCTCGCGCGCGGCTGCTGAGGCTGCTGACTTCTGGGACAGGGGGCGCTGCTTCGGCTCCGTGCACGGCTGGCACGGCTCGATCTTCGCACGATGCTCGATGTCCGCCGGCCAGGTCGGGTACCTCTCGGGTAGCAACTGCACAGGTAGTCCGAGGCTGTCCAGCTTCCAGTTCACACGGTCGATCGTCTTGATGAAGACCTTCTGGATGATTCGTCCCCAGCGACGGCACTGCGTCCACTGCTGGAGGAGCTTGCTGGACCACATCTCCCAGTTCGGTAGGTGCTCCTGCAGGAAGGTGTCCGTCATCCGCTTCATGCTGTTGTCCAGCTCCGAGCCCTCGACCGTGTAGAAGATGTGACCCCTCACGTCCTGATGAGCGATCAGTCGCCCCTGCGGCTGCATCCGTTGTAGTGTAGGCCTTGCCGACGTCGACGTGAAGGTCGTCGCCGATGATCCCGAGTCCAGTAGCGGGGCCCGAACATCCACCTGCTCCCATGGGCCATCCATCTCCTCGTTCTCCAGCTTGATCTGCTGGCTCTCTGCTTTGCGACATTTCGCCTCGCGGTTGAGGCTCATGCGAATATGTAGGACAAACTGGATGTTGTCGGAGCTCAGGGCTCGAATATGGAAGAATAGCTGGTTGCTGAAATCGGAGCTCTGAGCTCGAATCGTTCGCACCAAAAATGGCTCTTGGAGACGGGGATGTTTCTGTTTGGAGCTCTGGAAACTCTGGGATCTCAGGGAAGGCCTCTGGAGATAACCCCGATAATGCCGTAGGTGATGGAGTCGGGGCTGATACGGATGATGTCCCTGACGTAAGTGATGATGTCCCCGACGTAATTGATGATGTCGTTGCTGTAGGCGTAATTGGTGATGGTGCCCCCGTACTCGTAAATGATGATGATGTACCTGGGGCCTGTAGGGCTCCATTATCTGGGACCTCGTCGTGGAACTCCTGGGGCACCACTGCAGACGGTTTATCGTTCTCGCTTTTGATCGGCTGCTCTTTTTCATGTTTTCCCTCCGGCACCGTAGCAGTCTCGGGTGTCGAGGGCGTGGACCCCTACTCGAGAGATGCCACGAAGCCAAAATCGGCTTGTCGAACAAGTGGCAGTGCAAGATGACCGCTCGGAAGGACGAGCAGTTCAGCTCGGCGCCCGAGCTTCTTGAAGTAGACAGAATGCGCCTCGCAGTCGATCACAGCTCCTAGGCGGCTCAAAACATCCACTCCGATCAAGAGCGGGGCATCTGCGTCGAGGATGTTTATCTCGAGCTCGCCGTCCACCGGCGATCATAAGAGGGAAGGTTGCCTTGCCGGTGCAGGTCTTGGCGTTGCCATCTCCAAAGATAAAGGTACTCTTCTGGCTAACGTCCATCTTGATGTTTTTGCCCGTCTGCTCATAGATGATATCGCGTAGATTCTCGGCAGCCTCGATGCCCATGATGCTGGAGGTCGCGCCGATGTCCAGAATACCGAAGCCCTTGGAGGAGCTCTGCTTCACACTCATGAGGATCCAGTCGTCTAGCTTCTCCAGGGTTGGCCAGCTCGGTAGTTTCACATGATGGACTTGCCCTCGCCTCTCGATGGATTTCTCCGCCTCCAGGTACATCGTCTTCTCGAGCTGTTTCTTCGGAAGCTTCGGTCGAATCTTGATCACTGGCTTATTGTTGAGCGTCGTCTCCAGCTCCAGGCGCGAGGTCTCGTTCCTGATGAGATTCGCCTCCATCTCGGCGTCCTGCTCGGCGCCGAAGAACACGTAGGCTCCGAAACCTCGCTTAGGTCGTTCACGATCTTTGCTGCCGGTGGAGGAAGCGCGGTCTCGGTGATCCTTAGTCTCGTGATTGCCGCCGCACTTCAGACAGGGTCCCTTACGGGGCGGCCGGCCCTGGGAGCGATCTCCATCACGTCGGGGTGGTACATCGCGTCGTTGTCCGCTCCCTCGGCCTCGTCCTTTCGATGATCCAGAGCCTCGGGATCCAGCTCGAGGTCCCTGGAACTTGCGCTGTGCTCCGCGTCCTTCTCGCTTCTTGTTCTCATCCACGGGGTAGAACTTCCTGGCGGTCTTCACTCGTCGGAGTAGATCTCGAGCTTCTTCGAAACTGCGCTGCTGGGCGGCGAACGCGGTCTCGGCCTCCTCGATCTCCTGGGCGCTGTAGAGCGGCTCCTCGGGATCTCCTTCGTCCTCGTCGCCGTCCGCGTCCTCATAGGTGGCCTCCGACTGGTCGCCATCGTAGTAGCTGTAGTCGTCGTCGTCCTCGCTGTTCTCCTCCCAGCCGGCATGGATCCGACCTCGCTCGCGATGGCGATGGTTGTCCTTGCCGTGCTTCTTATCTCTGTTCGTCAGCTCGTCATCTGGCCAAGATACTCGTAGCTGCTCGCCGATGCTGTCGTAGTCGAAGTTGCCTTTGACTGCGCTGATAACTGCCGCACGCTCCGTCGGGGAAAGTCTTGATCTCTGCAGCAGTAGCCATCCGCGCAGCTGGTCAAGAGGAATCGCCTGGTTGAAGTCGGTTCCGAAATCTGGATGCTCGGGGATCTCCTCAAGTCCAGTCTTGATGAAGTTCCAGAGCTGGTAGTTCAACTCCTTGGCCTTGTCGGCGGCGTCCTCCGGGCCCTCCTGCTCGATCTTGTACAAGAACCAGTTGAGCTCCGAGTAGAGGGTGTTCCACTCCTTTGACCTTTCCGACAGCCGGGCCGTGCGCTGCTTCTTGAAATACTCGGTGTCGAAACCCTTGACCACGTCGTGGTAGGCCTCATCGTCTCTGCTTATATAGCTCGGCATTGGCTCTCCAGTGTCTCGACGAAGATCGAAGATCCATCGGGCCAGATATTTGCCTGCATCCTGGATGGGCTGAGCTCCGAGCTTGGCACGAATGTGTCGCAGTAGCTCAGCTGCACCGTCGTCTCTCTCAATGCGGTCCCAGTCCACATCCTTGGCTGCTTGTCGTGCTCGACCTTCCAGTCGTCTCCACAAACGAGGGCCGCATACATATCGTTCATCTCGACGGGTTCCTCGGATGTAAGCTTTGACGTCTCTCGTAATCGTCCACCGTGGTGAGATCTCCGTTCCACTTCGGTACGATGTCATCGTTGTTATTGTTGTTCTTCGCCATGGCTCAAACGATGAACTTATATCCGTGAATCTGTAGTCCGTGGAGCTTGATTGCTCCGCTACCATGCAATGGTCCCGCTTAGAACCACTGCCCTGATAGCAATCCTGAATGATGCTACTCTCTTCTCTGCTCTGACAACGTGTCGAGGGTACCGTTGGCGGTGTTGAACTCGTCGCAAGACGGGTCGAATATGAGGGCAGTGACTGTGCGATGCTGATCGCACTATGGTGATGAACAGGATCTGTTTATCAGCGGGCAGTTCGCTGTCCTGCGTCTCTCAGACGCACACCAGAAGTCCAGCGTCGCTGAGACGCTGCAAAGGCTTGAGCCAGAACGGTTTCGGATGAACCTGTTCTGTTTGAATTATCTGTTGCAACTTGTTGCTAGGGAAACGGAGTGCCTACTAAGCAAGGCTTGCTGAAACCTGGAGTCTTAAGGGACCCGATTCGCCGGGAAACGCTTGGCTAACATACATGGGGCTCCTTTGGAGCCTGAAGCTTATATCACGCACGGCCTCTAGAGGCCATCTGTCGTAAGTAGGCTCTAGTGAGGCAGGCTCGGGGCTGTGAATTGCACAGGGAGCGGTTTTCCGTCCTGGATCCGTTGTTGATGGCCCCCGGGCCCGATGACGGGCTCGGGAGGCCGACATCCAGGAGAAAACGCTAGATTGAGCAATCATACAGTCGGACCGAGCTATATCTTCGTGTTCGCTGGATCTTCTTGTGCATCCTGGGGAGGTTACCCTCGGAGTTTCCGTGTGCTTTGGCCGATGGAGGTGTCATGCTCTTGAGGGATCTCGACGAAGAACAAAACACACATAAACGTACACTTTTGTCGCTCCGCGCGGATTTCTTGGATCGGCGCTGGGCCCCCCTGGCGCGCTCCATGCGCCAGGGAGGGGGGGGGGGGGGCAGCGCCGATCCGAGAGCTCCGCGCGGAGCGCCACAAGCTCACGTTCATGGCCTTCTTTCTCCTTCTTCTAGGGGTGCTCTTCTGTGGGGGCCCAAAGAACAGACACCACCACCACGTCGATCCCTCCCCTCTCCTGTTTCCAGCGAGGGGGAGGTGGGGAGGGAGGTGGTGGTGGTGTATATTTGGGGCCCCCCGGTCTGGTCTCGGTCCGACGGTACCTTCGGATCTCTGGGCCTCCTCGACCAGCACTCGGGGATGCTCTTCTGGTCTGGGTCCGACGGTACCCTCGGACAGGCCTCGGAAAAAAATAGCGAACACTCATACCACATTCATCTGTCAACGCCTCCCCCTCCCCCCAATGTTCAAAGTTGGCGGTGGGTCTGATGAGTTGCACCGCGACCGCAGTCCCCCCCGCGCTTGCCAGCTTTGAGTTTGGGGGGCAGAGGGGTGTTTACTACT